CGGACTTGATGATCTGCTCAGGTCCCTTCCGACCCTACAAACTATGAAACTATGACAAGCAAAACTGTCACTTACCAGCAGCAGCAGCCTCTTGTCATCTGGCAGGCAGATCTGGGGGGCTGCACCCCCAGGAGGACTGCGGGGCTGTGCTGGACTCCTCCTGGGGGTGCGGCCCCTGATCTGCCTGCCGGATAACAGGAGGCTGCTGCTGCTGCTGCTGCCTGGGACTGGCACTGGGAAGATTGGTGCTGCTGCCCGGGCAGCAGGAGCAGCCTCTTATGATTCGGCAGGCAGATTGGGGGCCTGCACCCCTGGAAGGTCTGTGGGGCTCTGCTGGACTCCCCCCAGTGCTGCAGGCAGGCCCCTGATCTGCCTGCCAGATCACAGGAGTCTGCTCCTGCTGCCTGGGACCAGCAGCAGCACCAATCTTCCCAGCACAGGGTGTGGGCTGTGCCCAGTGCCAGTCCCAGGCGGTGGGAACAGCCTCCTGTCATCTAGCAGGTAGATTGTGGGCCCGCCTGCACCCCTGGGAGGAGTCTGGCAGAGCCTCACAGCATTCCTGTAATCTGGAGGCAGCCTCCTGTGATCCAGCAGGCAGACTGGGGGTCCACACCCCTGTGAGGAGTCTGGCAGAGTAGTCCCGCAGCCCTACTGGGAGTGCAGGAGGGGGTGTGGAGCCAGTCTGTCTGCTGGATGACAGGAAGCTGCTGCTGCTGGCTGGGACTGGCACTGGGCGCAGCCCACACCTAATGCCAGGAAGGTTGGTGCTGCTGCTGGTCCCAGTCGCATGCTGTCCAGAGGAGGGCCCCTTGCATGATCAGGGGCAGCAAAGCAGGCCCTACGAGGGGAGGCTACAGCCACAAGAGAAGGCTGAGAGGGGATCTGGTGGCTGTCTATAAACTGGCCAAGGGGGACCAGCAGGCAATGGGAGAGTCCCTGTTCCCCAAAGCACTACTGGGAGTAACAAGGAGTAACGGCCATAAGTTGACTTAGAGTAGATTCAGGCTAGATACAGGAGGCACTACTTCACAGTCAGGGCAGATAGGATCTGGAACCAACTTCCAAGGGAAGGTGGTGCTCACTCCTACCCTGGGGGTCTTCTAAAGGAGGCTAGATAATCACCTAGCTGGGGTCATTTGACCCCAGCATTCTTTCCTGCCCATGGCAGGGGGTTAGACTTGATGATCTGCTCAGGTTCCTTCCAACCCTACCAACTATGAAACTGTCATATAGCCTGCAGATCCAGGGGTCCACACCCCTGGGAGCACTGGGGGATGTGCCAGAATCCTCCTGGGGGGACGGGGGTGCAGCCCCCGGATCTGCGCCAAATGACAGGAGCCTGCTGCTGCTGGCTGGGACTGGCACTGAAGCCAAGTAAGCCTGGCTTCGAAACTCAAAATGTTTTGAAACTTTCAAAACATTTTGAGTGCCCTTATTTTGTTTTGAAGGTGTTTTTAAGGATTTTGTTTCATTTTGATTTTGCTGTTTCTAGCTCAAAATGCATCAAAACAGCTTTGATGCGAAATACCTGGCAAAATTTCACACAGCCCTAATGGTTAATACAGGAATAGGCACCACTAGGAGAATTGGAATGCTTGAGGGCCTGGCTTGACTGAACTGCTTACTTAGTAGCTGGCTTAAACTCAGCTGCTACCATCAAAAATGCAGCTGTAGCCTGCTGCTTTCCTTTTAAATTAGCAGGGGCCATGGCCCCCAGTTACAAGACATGTGTATGGATACCTTTACCGCTGTTATGTACAAGTTATTACATTTGCCTGGGGATTGCAGGAGGGAACAACAGAACTGTAGGCAAGGTACTATTTTTTGAATAAAAAAGCTTTATTGTTCTATAAAATTAACTCCTTGGTCTTTTGAGAACTACACATGGTAAAAAGAGTGGGGTGCAAAGAA